TGTTTAAACAAGCACTGGCAAAGAAAGGGGGTGCAGTAGGTGAAGCCTTCCCCGGGTGTCATCCCTGAGGGGGGTGACATTGCCGTGCCACCCCCTGGGATGCTTACTGTGGGCGGCGCTCCCCTAGCAGTCTCGCCAAGCCCCCACCGGTGCACAGCATGTGCGCCACTCCGGGTGCCGGAGCAGCTAGCTTATGGTTACCAGACGTCCCCATTTCCTGGGGAGAGTCCCTGGATTTAAAAATCTGTCCCCGGAGAAAATCCATCCCCAGGATGTCCCTGGATTTCATTTAACGTCCCCGGATTTTTATTTTAAGTGTTGCAGATTTATTAGTAGGGAATGAATGTTGCGTGATTGGTTCAACGGCACAAGACACATCATATGGGGACTTCCGGCGAGGCAAAATGGCGGGCGCCACGGCAGCAGGCAACTCCTGAAGCCAGCCAGAGCCAACTACACTACCAGGCTGGCTCTGGGCTGCTGAGACTGCCGCTGCCATTGCTGAGGGGGAACCAGGGATGCCCAGCATGCCAACTGGGGGAGCCTTTGACCCCCGCCCCATGACCCAAATCGAGCCTGGAGCGAGAGCGCCTGGCCACCCAGCCGACTGCCCAGCGGTGCTCTGGGGCCAGGAGAACCCTGGAGCCAACGCAGGGAGAAGGAGAAGGAAGGAGAGAAAAGAGGGGAGCCCTGACCTTGCCGCTGCCGCCTATGAGGGGAGGTAGGAGAGCACCGGGAGGGCAAGGACATGTGGCCGAGCCCAGGCCCGACCTGAGCCTACTCCATGGCAGCTAGCACTCCAAGAGAGCAGGCTGGGGCCCAGAGGAAGGCCATGCAACAGAGGAGACCACAGAAGAGAAGATGTTACTTCTTTTTTTAAAAAAAAAAAACAACTTTTAAAAAATAACTTTTTTTCTCTCTTTTTTTTAAAAAAAAGTGTCCCTGGATTCTTTGAAAAAAAAATCTGGTAACCTTAAGCTAACTCCACCTCTGTGAACAAGAATTGTTTCTGTGGCAGGCTAGCAATAACTGCTTGGGGAAGAGGTTGCAAAATGGTTCAACAGGTTGAATAGGAAGCACTGTAGCAATGAAAGATAGATTTCAGTGTCTGTGTGACCAGAAACATTCCCTGCAAAAACTTTCCAAAACAGTCTCTGTCCGAGTAGCTATTTTCTAACCAGTAAAGTGTCACTCTCACATTGCCAATGTTTATAAGTGCTGCAAACATGACCCTAAACATGCTAATGATGGAAAAAGCATTAGATTTTCTACTTTGCCTTGAAGAGAGACACTAGAGATGCTTTTTAAAAAGAATCTCATTTATCCAAGCCCAATTATCTAGTCTAGTATCCCAAAAGGCCTCTGCAGTTGGCAATCCAGATGTGGATACACAGTACATAGCCAAAACCATAGCTATGTATGCAACAAAGTTCAAATCACGAAAGGGATACCATGAATGAACCAAAGCGTGGTTTTGCATTCCTCCCTTCTTTGAACATTTAGAAGCTCCAACAGAGCTTTATGGGGACAGTTTTTTTCTTCTGGGCCCCACCCACACTAAAACAGCATTATTCTACCTTAATCAGCCATGGCTTCCCCCCAAAAAATCTTGGGCAGTTTAGTTTCTTAAGGGCCCTGAAAGTTGTCAAGAGGTACCTGACAATTCTCAGAGCTACAACCAATCCCTCTTTCCTAAGAAACTCTGGGAAACAAAGGTATATTCATTGCTTTATCGGGTTCTATTTGCAGATGTCTAATCAGGATAGTAACTGAGGAAGTTGAAGGCACTGTATTGTGATGGCTCTGCTCCTACCTATGAGGTCATTACTAGAAAACAGCACTAGGTGAATATTGCTCAAACGTGGTTTTTGAGTTGTGGGGTTCCCACAGGCATCCCTTCTGTCTCCTCTGCTCTTCAACATCTATGTGAAACTGCTGGGAGCTGTCGTCCGGGGATCTGGAGCATGGTGTTGTCCAGCACTGCCCAAGATTTTTGGGGGGAAGCCATGTTGTCAGTATCCTGATGACACACAGATCTATCTCTCCATTCCATCTGACTCAGGAGAGACTGTGCAGGTGTTGGGCCAATGTCTGTAAGCAGTGAAGGACTGGATATAGCCAATAAAGCTGAATCTTGATATGATGGAGGTGCACTGGCTGGAGGGAATTAAGTGAACAACCTGTTCTGGGCGGGGTGCCACTGCCAGGAGCTGCCTGGGTTGCACTGACAGGTGACAGGACTTTCTCAGGGATGGTTCCCTATTTGTGGAATGTCCTCCCTGGTGGGATAGGCCTGTTTCCCTCACTAATTTTTAGGAAGAAACATTCCTTTTCACCTAGGTATTTAGGTGGCTGAAAGAGACTGTTCCCAGCTATCTTAAATTTATTAACTGTGAAGGTATGCAATTATTTTACATGTTTTTAGGTGTTCTTAATGCCTTTAAATGTTTTCAGATTTTTAAAAATTCTTTAAAAATGTTCTAAACATGTTTTGAATAGCATTTTCCACCAGTTTGCTACGCTGGGCTCCTTTGGGAGAAAGAGCGGGACAGAAATTCAATAAATAAATAAATTTCCTAGAAAGGGCAAAATGCAAAAGGCACCATGCTATGATCCAATGATCTAGATAAGCCCTAAAAGCATCAATCATCGTGCAGGCTTGGCTGATTCACAAGCACATGTTGATAGCATCTATCTGCAAAGCTCGCTTCACTGCCATTGCAAACTCTCTAATGACAGAGTTACAGGCGTAGCTTCATAAACGGCTGCATTAGCTATCTTGAAGGCATGCAGAATAGTTTGTATATATTGTAACCCATCTAATAAAAACTGGGTTACGTCTGCCGCGCTCTCCCTCCCCTCTTGATACATTCATGCTGAAAACTGCCCCATGCATCTGTCCCTTGGAAGCGGAGGACTAAATGTAACATTTTGGACAGCAAAAAATGTGCAAAGGAAATACAAAGCAATGCAAGCAACGCATCGTACCAGGAAATGAAGTTCGTCCGAAGGGTAAAAAACATTTAGCACAAATCTTACTCGATTACAGACTCTTGAAATGCAAAGAGAGAACTAAAACTTCTTCAACCATTTACAGTCATCAAAGCAGAAGGACTGAAGTAGATATATCTGCTAACCTGGGAACACAGGAATTCAAGTTGCAGGCTACATTTTCTGTTCCACCAATGCACTGGGGGAGGTGTTTGTGGAAAGGGAGAGAATCACTAATCAAGAAACTGCCCGGACTCTGATCTATGCTAAAAGAAAGTTCCACAATTGCAACACAGAGACTTTTCCTGTTTTAAAAATTCCTAGAAAGCATTATGAATATTGGTTTCTCTTAGACAGTAATGGTTGTGAGAACATGACACACTGGTGGTTTCCATACAAAATTCTGTAAAATAATAACTGCAATAATAGCATGGCCCAACTATATTTGCCACAAGTAGAGATGGAGGACAAAATTGATTTTGTTTGCATTTTAATGAAAAACTACCAGGTTTGCACTTCTCGAATGAACATGTGAACCAAGAAACAGCCTCCAAATACCTTAGAGAACTGAAATTGCCCAGTTTGTCCATGCCTAGCCAACAACAACAAAAAACAACCACCCCAGACTGTTTGGAAGGGAAGCCAAATGCCTGTGCAGCATCTTAAAATCTCTGCAGCACCTGGCAATATTCAAAAGCCAATACAGGAATCCATGGGATACTTTCATTAAAGTGCAAGGCACTCTTAAGCATGGTTTATGAAGAAGTGAGCCCCATTGTATTCTGTTAGACTTACTACCTTGTAAACATGATTGCGACTTCAGACATACACTGAAAATCCCAAGCAGCAGTTTCCATAGTTTTTTAATTGTTATTTTAAGTTCCTCCTAATTTATTACTTAAAATCAGGCTGATCACTATACTAGGTACCATACAGAAGTTAAGAGGCATGGCCTCACCTGTGGGTTTACAATGAAATAATTGGTTCTACAGTGGTACCTCGGGTTAAGAATTTAATTCCTTCAGGAGGTCCATTCATAACTTGAAACTGTTCTTAACCTGAGGTACCACTTTAGCTAATGGGGCCTCCTGCTGCCGCCGCGCGATTTCTGTTCTCACCCTGAAGCAAAATTCTTAACCCAAAGTACTATTTCTGGGTTAGCAGAGTCTGTAACCTGAAGCATCTGTAACCCGAGGTACCACTGTATCTAAAAGCCTTGCAGTCTGCTCCTCAGAAGTAAGTTCAATGGAACTTAGCCACAAGGAGGAGCGCATAAAATTGCAGCTCAAATTCTGAAGTGCTCGTGGCATTTAGTTTTCTATAAAAAGGGGTGAGCACAAAGTAGCGTTTCAATAAAAAAAAGTTGCTTAAGGCTTCGCCATGAGCTGGTAAAGACTATATATTTAAAAGAAGAAACTTGGGAGGGGGGGTGTTTATTGTGGCTTTTTAAAAATCATTCGGTGTCTGGAGCCCTCTCCACAGTAATCTCATTGAGCGCTCATAAAGAAAAAGGAAATACAGTTCCTTCCTAACACATACTTTATGTGTCTTTGATCCAAAGCAGCATCTGCATGGAAAAGTCACAAATACTGCAATCTCATCCCTTTCTAATAAGTGAAAGAGAGCACAGACATAGAATCAAACACGGCACCATTTCCAAAATAAATACAGCAATGGATTGCAGTTCAACTGCACATAGTAGACAGACTTAACTCTCTAGGGACTGAGAAGCGCAAAGTTAATTCAGAGGCAACGCAGTCCCTCAGCCACTAAAGTTGTCACTTATGCTAATGTGGTATTGCCCAATTACAGGAGCTCTTGCTTAAAGTGTGCAATTAACGCAAGGGTTTAAGAAATCAGAGTTACTCACAGAATCGTCCTGGAGATGCAACAGCCAGCTTTTCTTACAACAGGAAATTCCAGTGCAACATCATGTACGATGCAGAACCGACAGGAGTCAGGAACAGACGGGCCCCTGGGATTACGGCAGTCCCAAGACGCGTGCTAGTGCATGCCGAACTATAATTTATGAAACAGAGCTCGTTTAATCAGCCAATCGGTTGGCTTCTCCCTAACAAGTCTAACTGGCTCTGAAGGGCAGAAAGCACTGCAACAGAACAATAAAAAAGAGACGATATCCCACACGCTAAGCTGCTTAGCGTGGAATTGCTTTCTGTGACAGGAGTCTGGTGGGGGAGGGAAGCAGTCTCTCCCATTCTCCCTCTCTTTTTAAAACAGAGTAACAGGTGATCTGCTTCCATGTAACAAAACAGCTGGAAATCTGAGCTCTGGATTTAATTTGAATCACATGTGCAAGGAAGTATCATAGCAGTACTGTTCTCTCCCCACTTTCCTCCAGCCCACCACAAATATCCAGCTCTCCCTTTTTGTATGCTGTTACAGAAGAAACAGCCAAAGCATCCATTTTTTGCTGAATTGCCGTACTGCTGGCCATTTAAAAACACGTGCGCACACACATTATCACATTCTTTTATCTGCTCTTTTCAGCACCCTTGTTTCCAGGAAGAAGATGGTCAAATCTAAATTCTGTGAATAGGAGGATGGTTTAATTTTTAATTTTCACAGAAGGCTCTGGCTCAACCTTGATGATGCCTTCCTACAGCAGATTACCAAATATTCAAAAAAGGAGAGATTTAGTAGTTATGGGAGGCTTCAACTACCCCAATATCTGTTGGAACTCAAACTCTGCCAAAAATGTAAATTCCAGCAAATTCCTCCAGCGCCTCAGCAACAATTTCATTTCCCAGAAAGTGGAAGAAGCAACAAGAAGGTCATCTATCTTGGACCTGGCCCTCACCAAAAGGGGGCAACTGATTGATGAAGTAAAGGTAAAAGGTAAGATTAAGGCCAGTCAAGGTTAAGTCCAGTTAAAGGCAACTATGGGGTTGTGGCGCTCATCTCACTTTCAGGCCGAGGGAGCCAGCATTTGTCCACAGACAGCTGTCTGGGTCATGTGGCCAGCATGACTTTACTGCTTCTGGTGCAACAGAACACCATGACAGAAACCAGAGCGCATAGAAACGCTATTTACCTTCCCGCTGCAGCAGTACCTATTTATCTACTTGCACTGGCGTGCTTTTGAACTACTAGGTTGGCAGGAGCTGGTGCAGAGCAATGGGAGCTCACCCCGTTGTGGGGAGTCAAACCACCGACTTTCAGATTGGCAAGCCCAAGAGGCTCAGTGGTTTAGACCACAGCACCACCCATGCCCCTCAAGTGGAAGTGGAAGTACTGTGAACCATGGGAGGAAGTGATTGTGTGCTCTTGGGTTTCATGATATAAAGGTAAGGAAGAGTAGTCTGGACTTTAAGAAGGCTGGTTTCAAAAAGCTGAAGAACTATTGGGTGAGATCCCATGGTCAGAAATACCCAAAGAGAAGGAAGTCCAAGATGGATGGATGTTTCTTAAAGGTGAAATAATGAAGCCCCAAGGCCAGACCATTCCAACAAGTGGGGGGGGGGCATCCAAAGAAACTGGTGTGGTTGCATAAGAAGCTTACAGATGAACTGAGATTTAAGAAAGCCATGTACAAGAAATGGAAAAGAGGGGAAATCACAAAGGAAGAAAAAACGTAAGTAGCGAGAAGGTCAGGCAGACCAAAGTTGAGAATGACCTGTAATGTCTGCATATCCCAAGACTGAATCTTTGCAGTGATGACAGGTTCTGGGGTAAATCAATGGCAAGCTCAATTAAATTCAGCCTAGACAAGAACTGAGCATGTAGGAACAAGTGCAATGTGGCCTTGGAGAGCCCAGTTCCTATCCTGACAACACTCTTTCTCTTATGTAGGTTCCATTTCCCGTGCTGCCTTTCTCTTCTTCTACTCCACCAAATCACCATTCATTTTAAATGCAGAAGAGCAGGATGCCCAAGCCAGGCTACTAAAATGGTGCCTGGAGTGGTAAAGCAAGAATGGAGAACCAGCAGCCTTCCAAATGATGCTGAACGGCAACTCCCATCATCCCATCATCATGCTAGCTGGGGCTGATGGAGTCCAACAATACCTGGAGGCCTACAGGTTTTCCCATCCCTGTGGTAAAGCTACATATCCACTTCAGATTACAGATGTGGAAACTGATCAGTTTAACCGTTTCTCATTTTGCTTAAGAAAAAGATACTCCGCCATTCCTACGAAGTTCAAGGTGGCTTAAGAGGACCAATAAAATGACAAATATCTAAAAAGCAATGCAGCAGCAACTAAAGCACCACCATAGCCAAGTTCCCCAGATCATGTTTGATGGTTTTAAAAGCTTCTCAGAGGTCCAGGAATTCAGTAGGCTTCTTCACCCCACTGTCCTCCCAGTGGGAGCCATCTATCAGCGTGACCAACCCAAAGCAGGTTAATGCCAAATCAGAAACTGAAATTGGACTGATGTGGATACAGGGTCTTCTGGGAGGGTCTGAATTATTATAAAACTCCCTGCACTTATGAAACGTTTTTACTTAGCCTTCCTCCTGACATGTTAGTTTTCTCAGAGGAGGATTGTCTGTGGAGCAGGAGTCAGTCATATGCAGTGATATTTGGTGCCAGAAGTCACCATGAATGCCTTCCTTGTTCTCTTATAATGGCAATGGCACCCACCTGAGAGGTGCTGGAAGTTCCAGCTGAAAAAAGCCCTAGTCATATGTTTCGCCCAACCTTCAGTTTGTACCCCCCCAAAAAAGTCTCAAAGCTCAATATTAGAAGTTCAGTCAATACAGATCCAATTTCACCCAAGCCCCACAAATGATCCGCTTGTACAAATGCCATCTATAACTCACTGCCCTGGCACCAAACGAGACAGGAAGGATGGAATATCCCAACATCTACATCAGGGCAATGTTTCAAAAACGTGGCATTCTACTGACATAAAAGGAATGTTAGCATTGGCACTTAGAATAGCTTAGAATCATAACCTTTCAGAGAAGCAACGACGTACAACGGTCTTGACTGTGGACAAATGTTCCTTGTGAAAGCTGCAGAAAAGCCAGCTGGACCACCTCCCAAGCCACCACTGTTTGATTTTGAAAGCATGCTTACATCTTTGCAAACACAGGCTTTTAAAATAAACTTATGATGCCCATATCTTCTGGCTGCCCAGTTACCTATAGATTAGCAGTTTTTCATCTTTTGCATTTCCAGAAATCTCTGCCCTTTTGTAGCACACTGAGCCATCTGGGCTCCCTTGTTAAATTAATTCCTTGTCCTACGGGCACCTTTCATATAGCACACTCTTCTTGCTTCTGTTTGAGTCATGTCTGTAATCTGGATGATTAGAGGATGCACACTTCCATTAGAGAGACTAATCTGTTGTGAACATCTGGGTACAGGAGATCCTGATTAACTATAGGGGTTTGAGCATCACAGTCTCTGTATCTCTCCACATCCCTATAAGTTAAAATTTGCTCAATGCAGGGGGACAGGGACAGGATGAACAGCCTGAAATATAAGTAGAACAGCACATACTCTGCATGCATAAAGTACCAAGTTCAATCCTTGACATCTCCAGGTAGAGATGGGATAAACTCCTGTCTGAAACCCTGAAGAGTCATTACTGGTCAGTGCTGGCAAAAACAAAGAAACAAACCACTAGTTGATCCAATGGTCTGATAACTTCCTGTGTAGATCACCAATAAAGATTGTGATCTATCTTGAAGTGTAGTTATTCTCCAGCAGTACAAACAGCGGAAACATATGCTGTACTCGGTTCCAGATTGTGAGAAACTTAATTGGTCTACCAAGCATTGCCAAAGTATAGTGGATGGAAAACGAATTTCCCTAAGTTGCCCACCGGGCAACAGGAAGATGCTACTCTATACAATGATTAAGGGGCCACATTACATGGTGAATCTGAATCTCCAGGTTCAGTTTTCATCAGGTACAAAGACATTATGAGGACTTAAACCATCTTTGAAATATGCCAGTTAAATTGTATGAATCATCCCTCTATATCATCCTTTCCCATGTCAAACACCCAACTCTTTAGAGGCTGAGAATCTGTATCTTCCAATGTCAACATCAATTCACCTTACTGTTCAACCCTGGGTATGTTTACATCTACTAACTGACATGGATCTTATTGGGAGTTACTTCCACGTAAACATGAAAATAGGTGCAGCCCCAATTTTACACATTTTAGCAGGACCAGCCCAAGACATTTTGCTGCCTGAGGCAAAGGAAGAAATGATTCCCTCACACAACATTCAACGTGTAGAAACCGAAGGAACTGGCAGTTGAGTCTTACTTAAAAATGCCCTTTGTTAATTTAGGGTGCTTCCAGATGGGGACTTCAAACAGTAGATGGGCCACACAGATTCAATTTTCCTGTGGGTGCAATTGGCACATTAACCTCCACACATTTTTCAGTCTTAATGTTAATGGCTATTCCTCCACTTGCCATCCACACAAGTTGACAGAATGTATTCATGATGTGGGAGACTGAACCTCTCTCCCACTTTTTCCCCATTCTAGGCATGCACAAACTACAAAGGTGTGCATGCACCTTTTTAAAAATAATAATCATCATCCCCAGGAAGTGTACAAGACAAAATGTTACCAGCATGCTTCACAATAGGCAAAATGGAGGGCTTTGAGGAGGAGGGGGTGATACTGTAGCAAAAATAGATTTATTGCATTTCATTGGTTTTTATTTCCTTTCCAATCATCCAAGCAGGAAGCATCTTAAACACTAAATGATAGTACTGAAATAATTATTGGTAAGAGATCCAGGGGGAACCATGAAATTATAGGCCAGTTAGTTTAGCATCTATTCCAGGAAAACAGAAGGGAAAATATAGCACGACCCTCCTTTCTTCCAAGAGGGCTGCTCCCAATTGATCTTGGCAACTCAACAACTTTGCCACAGGTGGGGCTGTTCTTCAAGCTAGCCAGCAGGTTCTCCATGAGAGATGTGGATCTGGCCAGCAAACTGCGGACAGAGGGAACTCCTTGGTAGGATTGCTAAGTTAAATTTATCTTTTTAAACTTTTAAACACAGAAGGCTTTTAAACAAACTAAGGCTCTTACTCATAAGTAAGAAAGAGATCTTTATTCAGGAAGGCCACAGTACAGATTCAGTAGCAGACGCAGAGCTGAAGAATTACAGTTAAAGGTGAAATTATCAAATATGTCCCAGTAAGGTTCCCTGACCTTCCTGCCAAGCCATTAAAGATGAGGCATGGCGTCATCACTCACAAGAGACTCTTGTCCTGGGAGAATGTTGGGATTGCAAACATGCACTATGTCAGGGAGTATGGGTCTGTT